GGACGCAGACGCGCACGCAGGATGACGTTTCACTACACGCAACGTACACGCATTCGCAAATCAGCTATACGCGATATAGTTGAACCAACTTTATCTTTTGGTTCAACTATAGTCGCGTATGGCTGATTTGCGAATGCGTGTACGTTGCGTGTAGTGAAACATCATCCTGCGTGCGCGTCTGCGTCCTGCGTTTTGCGTCCTATGTAGACGGGCCTTAAAAGTGCAACGCGGCTCTTTCATATCGCGGGATCTTCGTCCATTGCGGATCGATAATCTTGCACCGACTCGTCAGCGCTTATCGTCGTTATCATCGTCGGTCAGGAGCCTCTCCCCTCCGGTCATTATGCTAATACGCCATTATGATTAATGGCCGTTACGGTTGACACGACTTATCAGGCTATCCCTGAACTTTCGAGAAAAAGTTACGCGTTCAAGGATAACGGCTCGCGCACGGTTCCCCTAACGGCGGGCAGTTTTGATCGCGAACATTTTAAAGATCGTCAGCGGGTCCTCCGCGATTCGCGATTTCCTTCGGAGAAATACAAGTGAAAATACCAATATGTACGTAGCTTATTCCTCATTTTGCGGAGGTAACGATCGTTTCTTGCCAGTTACACGAATGGATGTTTGTCGTGCGCAAAGTTTGGCAAGTTAACACGAATACGAATTAATGGCGGACACGCGACTTGAAAGGCGGGACTGAAACCCGCGGGTAACCGTCCTTAAGACGGCTTTGTCGATGACACGAGGAGAAAGGTTAGCGAATCCTGACGACCCTGAGTCTTATCCTCGGGCAGTTTGGCTCGCTCTTAAAAGGCGCCTAAAGGCGCCCCGCGAGTCGTGTCTGGAGCATTCGAAAGTGTGTAAGGTCAGGGCTAGCCTGGCATCAAGCTGACAAATTATCCTGGCTGCTTGCCCCAAAAGTACATTCTCGTAGCAGCGCGTTACAAATTTTTTCGATGCTCACCGCGCGCCTTCTTAGGTATAGAATACACAAAACGATATTTTCTGTAAAAATCACGACACGCTAATTCTTACCAAGTCGCTCGTAAAATTTATGTTAATTCATTTCTCGCCTGTCCATCGTAACGGGTAGCAACCGACATGCAGAGAGAACAACACTACCGTTCATCATAATAGAACCGTTTCTCTTAACTTTCTCAAAAGGAGGGCGTTAAAGCGAGTATTTATTATTTTTGCCCAAGTATATCTTTTCAGATATTTTAACAAACGGTGTTGCGCATTTATCGCGAAGCGAACACCGCGGCGGCGTTATCGTGCTGCGGGCTCGCGTTTCCCGAGCACTCGTGTTGAAAGAAAGAGAGAGAAAGAGAGAGAGACAGAGAAAGCCCGCGAAAGTGGACGCGTGAGAAAGATACGAAACGATCGGGGACAATGCGAGCGACGGTTGTCCGCCTTATACGGAACAACGTGTACATATTTATCGGCACGCCGCTGGCGGCCCGCCGGCGTATCGTGAACCTCCTCGCCGAGGGAGGAGGAATAGTTGCATACTAATTCGATCGGTGACGATCCGATCAGATTCCGTCGTCTATTTTTTGTTTTAGGGGGGAGAGGAGAAGAGGAAGGGACGCGTGTATTTCCGCGGTTCGGTATAAACGCGATCTCGCTGATCGCATCGAGCGCACGTGCTTCCGATAACAAAGTGCATCACGTAGCGCCGGTTCGCGAAGTCTACCGCGAATTCCGGAAGTTCGCTCCCGCGATTGAAAATATAATTTTGTGAAAGTCTAGTGGCTTCCGACAGAGTATGAAATAATTTCCATCGGCAATTTCTTTCGCGCTGCCACAACATCATTGTTCTATCGCGTCGAGATTTATATCGGTAGAGCGCGGTATTTTGTCGAAATGGGAAGAAAAGTTTAGCTAATTAGATACCAGCGCTAAGGTAAGGAAAATCAATTAGAATATTGTGGAATATTCGTCACACTGAGAAAAATTTCCATCGGACAAACAAATTAAATACACTGAGAAAAATTTTCATCGGATAAACCAATTAAATAGTATGTCCGATGGTTAATTTTTCCGATTACGTTTTCCGATTAAATTATGGATATATCCGATGAAATTTATCCGATGAAATTCGATTGAAAAACCGATCAAATTTTTCATCGGATATACAATTTAATCGGACATATCCGTTTGTTATCATGTAATTGGATTATCCGATTATATTTAATCGGACATTTTTCTCAGTGTAGTAATGAGTAAGTTTCAGTCGACCGTAACTGGCACGTGTTTAATAAAAGAAGCAAAAATACAAATTTTTCAATCAAATAGTGTTTCCGATGGTTAATTTTTCCGATTAAATTATGTATCGATCCGATGAGATGCAGCTACCGATGAAACTCGATCGAAAAGCCATATTTTTCATCGGATATATCCGTTTGTTATTACGTAATTGGATTATCCGATTACATTTAATCGAATATTTTTCTCCGTGTGTGTTTTTCTACGAAACATTTCTTATGTGTCACGCGTGCATCTAACAATAAGACTTAATTCGCGAGTCTCCGTCAATTTTCCGCGTCGCTATTACGCGTAATTAGATCTCTCTCGAAAAGGGCTTCGGAACCAGGTCTGACGTTCACGACGTGACGAACGGATTCGAGAATGTGGAGCTCGCGGTGCAAATTGAGTCTGCACGCTGACACGAGAGATAAGACGTGACGGGAAAAAGTCGTGCGAATTAACTCGGATGATTGGCAGTAACGTCGGAGTGCTGAAATGTGCCTTGTACGCGGCTCGTTTGAGCGCCGGCCTCGACAGGGGGGGGGCAAAAAAACAAAGAGAGTTACGTGAATTCGTCCTATTAATAGAAACGTTGCGTTAACGACTTCGCCGCGTGACTCTTTACACGCGTCGTATTAATTATTAGCGATTAATTGATATTCGGTGCGCGATCTCCACCCGTCGTCATAAGTCACGTTCAATGCTAACAGCGGTTACAGCGGCAGTGGTATAACAGAATACTGCACGTGTTATGGTGCAATGGTAATTGTACGATACTACGTGGATGATGACCATGCCGATGCACTTTTTGGTGCCCGACGCATTTGCTCGCGATACGTCGACTGATCGAGGCGAGTTAACATGTAGCTCAGCAGTTATGCTTCAATAATCGAGCACGGCAGTAAAGTTCAAGATAGCTGACAGTTTTCTCTCCGAGAGACGTTAAGAGTCATTCACGTCTTAGAATGAGACTGAAGCCCCGTTGCACCAATGTTGGATAGCCGTAGGTCCCGATTAACTAAACGTCTCCTTTAGTCGCAGCACCGTCGAATAGATTTATGGGAATCTTCGGCGAATTGAGCGCAAGGAAAAAAAAAGAACGCGACTTTACTTGTATTTTACGCGACTTTACGCAACAAGGAACATGTAACGTATTACATTATTATCGTTTTCGTAATTTGGTTTCTCTGACAGTCAATCCTCCTGTAGTTAAAATTCTTAATTAGAAAATTTATATAACTTGACTTTCTTTTCAAATGTTATGTAATTTATTCGGTCATAAAGAAATAAAAATGAAACGTGATTTGCACAGAGGGTGTTGGGAATGTGAAACCATTAAAAAAAATTTTTCTCTCATATCTTTACGTTCGGTCCGCCCTCGATGGCCGCTCGTGAAATGCAAACCTCTACGTTCGCGACATTGTGCGTGTAGCGAGGAGTACAACAGAGATAGCCCTACGATGGCTTCCGGTGATCGTGTTTCCGGTGTAAATGCACCGCGCGACAACACGTTAGATAACTGCGGGCGAGCGAGCGACCGAGACGCCTCGTAGGCCTGACGGACCAAGGTTTTCTCTCCTCTTCGCACCCTCGTTCCATCCGTTTAGTTATTTATCGCTTCCATACTAATGCAAATCATTAATCTTACGAAGAAAGTCATTAAGCGTACCTGCTTAGAAAATAATAATTTATTATGCGACGACGACTACAGTTAATCATGCGAGATGCAAATTATAAACCGTTAAAAAAATATCAGAAACATTAGAGATATAAAATCTTATGAATTAAAAAAAAAACTTGTAAGATAATTTTGCATTGGAAAATTGTTATTTTCTGAATAACTTTAAATTTCAAATCGCGTGAAAAGGGGGGGCAGGAGTTAAATGGCTCTACGGTTCTTTCTCAAAAATGGATATTCGGCGCATAATACTTGTATGCACGTGCACTCTAAAGACAGAGCATCTCCATTCATTGCTTTGCGCAATCCATCTCTGTTCCTCCTTCGCGGGACGTTTTAATTAGTCACTTCCAGTCTACTTTCTAAGCTCAGGCACGAGCGAACTCGGCGCGTTCGAATTATAAAATCTAAACGCCGATTTCTTTTCCCAAGCAAGAATCTTTTTACACTCGTTTCTCCTCCCGCGCGGACGGACGAACGATCTTCATGCAAGCGCGCGATGCATATCGCGAATTATTTTCGTTCAGTTTCACGTTCTGTGTTGCGCGTACGGTAATTCAGTAGTAATGTAATAACTCAATGACGATGCTTTGCAGGGGATTGCTTTCGCCACGCTCTTTCCACTTTGAAAATTAATAACCTGCAGCCAATCTTCCCGTAATTAAATTGAGGCGTGTCTGTTGCGCTATTTGGATCACGTTTAAAATACATGCAAATTAAAATTTTTATTTGCTGTTTTGTTACCATTAACTCACAGTTTGTACACGATTTTTTAAACATATAACAAACAACAGAGTTAAACTAGTAAACTACACGGTCGGTCTCGCGTGCGCGCGGTTCTAGCTGCGCTTATACTTGGCGCGAGACGCTACCATGTCTCGTGATATTATAATAAATTATCAGTTGGGAAGTTGTAAAGATGGAATGATTTTTCATTCCATCACGAAGAATCTCATTCCATCTTTATATTTTAAAATAGTAGATTTCAGATGAAACACACATTTTGTATCGTAGCTGGATTAACGCGCATACATTCCGCATGAGCTTCCATGATGCAAAGTAATAAAAAAAAATATATAAATAACGAAAAAATAAATGAAAAAGATGAAATATAATTGAAGGAAATGAATGCGTGAAAAAATGTTTTCCGATGAACACTCGATAGATTTTAGAGATATCATCGATCATGAACATAAGCGCACAGGCTGCGCCAGCCACGTGCTGCGCCTGTAATGGATGCACCTGCATCGTGCAGCTCGTGGGGAACCTTGACTCATTCGCGCCGTCGTTGTTTACCCACGGGTCTCATAAATCATCGGTTCGTTCCCTTGATCCGCGCGCGCACGGTCCAGAACCATGTAATTATATGCTTTTTAGAGATCTCTCACGTTTTCACTCGTTCGCGCCGACGATGAGACGGCAGTGCGGCTCGATAAACCCTTCTTCACACCGCGGCGATTCACGGTCCGTACATCATCAGCGGTCTTCTTCACTCGTTCTACACGCGGTGGCGTAAATTCACGCGCGAACAAGGAACCGTCGTTGTACACCGCTCATCTCGTGCTTTCCTTTCGTAGAGGAGAGCCCTAGAGCGTTTCAGAACAATATTCATTTCAGCATCTCTCTTTCTCTCACTTTGTTGGCCACTTTTTCTTAACCCATTGTTTACATTTCCTACATGTAAATGCTCGGTCTTTTTGCGATCGCCTTATTTGCCAGATAATTGAAACTTGGGAACAGAGGCCAGCGAACATCTTTTTTCGCATCTTTCAATGAACTTCGAGCTAAGGAATTTTAGCTATCGTGCAATTGCATCAATACTGTATTAATAATTATATTAAATGTTAGCCTTTTTAAATACAAATTTTAGATATATCGGTTCTTTCTTGCAATGATATTTAAAATATTATTACATGAAATTCTAAAATATGATAAACCTAAAAATGAGACAGGCGCATCTTTTGGAAAGCACTTTATGAGGCGTCCGTACTGGCGTCAAATTTGTCGCAAAGCTGATGATCAACATGGTATAATCCGCGCAAAGAAGGCTCATCAACTGTTGCGGCACAATACTTAGTTTCGCAAAACCTCGTGACGGCGGCAGCTCATCTTTTCTTTCGCGTGCGTGAGGTTGATCCAAGTCATAAAGCCATAAACGAGGCGGATCGGCGATTTGCGCGATCGCTTTTGCGGCCGGATAATCGCACGCGTCTCGGAAATTCTTGGCGGCCGCATAAAGTGGAGCAGCTGTGGAAAACCCGTTGAATTTTCACGCGGCGAGAAATTCCGAGCTCGTTTGCTACCAAAAATCTGTGCGCTTTCGCCAGTCACTAGGGACGCGTATCAAAAGAAGCCTTCGATGATAGTTAACTTTGTGTTGAACTTTGGTGCCGTAACAAACGAATTGAACGAGATATATTGAGAAATCGACGAAGATAAATGATACCTGGCACACAAACCGATCCCTTTCAGTACTCGTTAGTAAATTAAAGTTATGGATGTAGAAGATTCCACGCCTCTGTAAATAACAATACAAGTAAACTCCAAATTTCTAATCTGAAGTAGATCATGAAGCAGCAACATGTGTGCGATAGAAAACAATACAATTATATTAAAATTATTTCGAATTGCTGAGAGTACGAGCACATTAACACTTTAATTTCATTGGAATTTCTTACTAGGATGTATTGTAGTGCGATTGTTTTACTGGAAAGAATAAGTTGAGAGTGTACTTTCCTTCTGCGAATGCAGTTATACATTACTATGAAGCGATACCGTCGTAAATCTGCTAAGAAGTAGCATAAACTTTCTCAGACATGCGTCCGAGTAAATTTTGGCATCAAATCGCCGAGCGTACTCTTCGTGGGTATCCAATTCCAGCTTCATGCTTCACATCTGCGGTTTTCCTTCCGGGGAATTTTAGCGTTGCAAACGTTCTCCAGACCCGAACGGAAATTCTCGCTTTGTGCAAAGGGAGGAGAAATGCTTCTACTTTTATTAGGTAATACAAAACGCAAGAAAACAGAACTGAAGAAAATAAGTCGCCGAGCTTCCGTAGGCAACATAAAATGATATACATCGTTAATTTCACCCGAGCTTGAAAATTGTTATTACGAGCATAACGCGCTAGTTCGATTTATCCAATGTTGCAGCTAATTATTAAAGAGATCTGTCAGATAAGAAAATTATCTGTTTCACCGGAAACGGTATCAACAATACAGCTAATTTTCACAACCGAGTAATGCTTGATTTGTTTTTGTAGTTGAGATTAATTGCGAGTCTCGTAACAGGATATAGACGGATATATTTTTTTAACCGAACTGAAAAGGAGAACGGATATAACTTACTTTACTTTTTGATACGTCGGACTTCATATGTTGCATGTTTGGTATAGGTTTATGCGCGATTATAAGTATGCATGTGTCAGTGATACATTTTATTCGGAATACTGCATAGTTTAAATGTAATTGTTGAAAGATACGTGAATATATTCATATATTATGAAATAAAAATTTCACGGTCATTAGTTCCTTTAATTACGGATTGCTTCCTTCTCGATTGCTGCCCGCAGATAACTCCAGAAAATCCTTGACGCGGAGTCAAAGCGATCGGTCGTTCAGTAAACCGAAAATCTCGGCGGGTGACATCCTGTTCTCGGATACGATGCGGCTCAGTCTCGGCAAGAAAATCAAAGAATCCTCCTCGTCGTCCACGTGTGCAGTTTCGCGCGAGGACGCAGACGAGGAAAATTCGCCGAGAAGGAAAAGCAGGAAGGAAGAAATCGAGGGAGAAACGGGCAAGGAGTCCGATTGCGAGGTCAGGGCGAGCAAAAACGTGGAGGAAATTCTCGGGAAGACTGCTGATAATGCCGAGAAGGAGGCTGAACCGCCGTCAGACTCGCGCAGCGACATTTCCGACGCGAGCAACGAACATTTCCGTACGATGAGACCTACAAGCTGGTCTCCGCCGCCCGGTAGGCAGAGACATCGCTTCAAGGTCGGTGACTCCAGCGCGGACGAGAGTCCCGTCAACTCGATCAAGGATCATCGGCGAACGGTCTCCTCGGCATCGACGGCGTCGTGGAACTCGACGAGCTCCTACGGATCCTCGAAGATCGAGATCAACTCTGCCGAGAGCAACGTTTGCAAGATCACGGTGAGCCCGCGCTCGTCGCCGCTGGTACATCGGCTGCAGATCGGTCCGGATTCCGGTCAGAAAGGCGCCAAAAGAACGTCCATCCTTATCAACGGCGATCAAAATACAAACGCGGAACTGACGCCGGGTAACAAGGTGACTATCAGCGTAGGCGGGGAGGATAGCGTGTGCAATCCGACGGTGATCTCCGTGAACTCGGAGAACCCGCCGAAGGTCCAGAACTCCGTGGAGAATCGCACTCTGGTGATACTCCAGAATTACAAGTCGAACATCGTGGTCGAGTCGGCGAACGACGATTCGCGTTCCAAACAGGCCGGGAAGGATAATCGCATCGTCGAAAACGGCGAGACGAATCCGAAGATGAATGGCGAGGTACCAGCGCCGTCCAGTGACGACACTTCGTCGTGTCGATACGTGGAACCGCCGGCGGCGAATTTCGAGAGACAGAAGAGGCTAAGCGTCGAGATTAAACCTTCCAATTCTAATCAGTCCTCGAGATTTTACGCGTCGGACGAAAGAACAGCGCGGCCGGAGTCCAAGTCGCGGTTCAAGGACGTCGAAAGTCCTTCCAAACTGTCCGGCTTGTCCAAGGAGGCTTTGATCTCCAAGCTGCTTGAAGATTCCCTACGAAAGGCTCGCGAGAACGGTGAGATCCTGGACGAGGACAGCGGCCAAGTAATCCTGAAAATCCTGAAGCAGAGCTTGCTGAAGAGCAAAGAGTACGAAAGCTCCGAGTCTACTCTGGAGGCGAATTACTCGCGTTCGTCCAGCTTGAACTCCGATGGTGATTTTATCTCGACGAATCTCTTCCTCGAGGAGAACCCGTACGAGGTGATCAAGGAGCCGATCTACGAGGAGATACCCGACGAGCCGCCACCGTTGCCGCTGAGTCCGCCACCCACGGAGGATTACATCAAAGATAGAATCTACTTCGGGGACGTGGAATACTACAAGAAAGTCACGCCGGGTCAGTTTCTCGGTCCCTATTTGTCGGAGGAAGTTTTCAAGAAGTCCAACTCGGAGGACCTGGCCGAGACCTACTTGTCCAAGAGTCCCGAAGATTTCTTCAAGAAAATGTCGACGTCGCCCGATGACGAGAACAATATCTCCACCAAATTCGAATTGCTGAGCTTTCTGATGGATTCCAAGGACCGCGCGCGCCCCGCGGAGGAGGACGAGGATGAGGACGAGGACGAGGAGGACGATGCCGAGGGAGACCTGGAGGCTCTGTACGAGCAGAAGGAGACCAGCCTGGGCGACCTCAGTTCCAAGAGCTCGCAGATCTCCAACGTGTCCGACAGCAGTGAGGAGTGCAATATCATCCTGACGAGCTCGCCGGAGGCGTTGAAGGTGAGTTCGAAGCTACCGATCGGCGCCAAAGCGAGATTCGTCGTAGGTAAACCTTTTCTTTCCGGGATCTCGGAAGTGCCGAACGTACGTCACTAGTTAACGTGGGATTCTAATCTCCCCTTATCGTTTTCGCAGTCGAGAACGGTCGACATAGAGAGAACCGACAGCGGGGTCGGATCTGAGAGCAGCCAAGCCAGTAGCACTCGCTGTGTCGCGAGGCGCTGGAGAACGGGCAACGTCTCCTCCAGCCCGGGGAGTCTCCTCGGTGGAATGCCGCAGGTAATTTCCGGGGCCACGAAGCTGTGCGAGGATTGCGAGCAGCGGCTGGACCCCCTGATAACCGACAGGTGAGTAGAGACTCGAAATCGGGAATCGAAACCGTTATACACAGTTTGCTTGGTGTCCGGTGCTACAGATACGGGAGAGAAAACGCCTCGACGGACATCTCAGGCTCTCACACTTCAGCCTCGCGTCTTTAGTTTCATCTATGGTTATAACTAGTACGTTTATCTCTCGTCGGTCCCTTTGATCTTTGCGGTCCCAATCACGTGGCACTCCGCCATGCACTCGGGCAGGATCCAGCGATGTGTGTGTATATACGTACTCACATAATAGACATAAGTTGCTTTCCTTTTACATGAAAACTCAGATAAATCTCACTTGTGCCGTCGTAACTCAGTTGAATGCATGTTCCTTTTGATTCTTGAGAAGTGAGATTCAACCAGATTTAACTGAGTTTTTGCACACGATCAAGACCGTGTGCTTTAGTGAGTTTAATAGACTCACATTAATGACGTCATATCCGAGTATAAAATACTCACATAACTGAGTGACTCAGTATCACTTAAGTGTAAAAGGAAAGCAGCTATTGTAAGAATAGACCGCGCGTTCCCTACCATTCCCGTGTTGAGAACACGTACAAACTTCAGAACGAGATAGCTGACAGTTGAGTGGTCACCTCATCTTTGTCTAATAAACAGTGGGGTAACAGAAGAGCAAGGGGAATGATAGAGGGCGACCACTCGACGTACGTTGTCTTTTTCCAAAGTTTGTACACTTCTTCAGCCAAATGCGCAGTCTACATATTATACGTCTATGCGTACTCATCAAAGCCACACTGCCACACATACGACTTTCCTCTCATTGGCCTGCCCAGCGCAATGTCGGATACGCAGAAGGGATCGACGCAAGACGAAACAAATGACGGAGTGGACCTACCAGTCGTACTATGGTTTCGCGTGCCGTTTTGCGTCGCCGGACACGCAAATGAACGTAAACGCACATGTCGAAGAGCCTCGCGAAACTCGTTCTTAATGCATCCCGACGTCCTAAATCGTCCACTGTTATCACCTCGAGCCGGATTCGCGCAGATAGCGCTCGATGATCCGGAGAGAGAGGATATAACGGTCCCGGAGTCCTCGCTAGAGCGTATCCTCCACTCGGCCGTGCGGCCGAGTTTCGACCGTGAGAGATTCGGCTTGCCGCGAGTTCCGCGCGGGACTCGCTCGATTCGCCTCTGAACTATAAATCCAACGAACAAAGTGCCGTTCTGCGTCCCGGCCTCCCAGGAGTGAATCTCGCGAATCGAGAAACTAATGCCGTTTCGCTACGGTCGCGAACTTTTCACAGCCGTGACATCCATCCGCGCCGTTAGCCGATCTTCGCCGCTGATAAGAGAAACCAATCGGGGAAAATGTCTTCTCCCGAATTATTGCGTCCATACCCGGAAACGCGATCGTCGTCGCTGATAAGAAATCAAGCGGGGAAAATGTCCTCGCCCGGAAACGCTAGCTCTCCGACTAGTTAACGCGTGTCTGTATCTTTTTTTTTTTGGTCGAAGCAAAGCTATCGAACATGTCTAGAATTCGTACCTGAGAATTCGCTCGGCTAGATTACGCGACCAGAGTGGCGCGGGGGAGACCAGTGGGCCACTTTCTCCCGTCGATTTTATTTGCCCGAGAACGAAAGTTCGCCGTTATCGAGGAGCGCAGTTGACGCTTGATGAATGGATAATGCAATATGCGTCTGGCAAGTTGCGACAGTTACTTTCATCCGCGATCGTAAATTACACATACAAATTCGTAACAGTCGCGAGCACTGTTACTCGACTCGCCTTCGCTTTCATCCGACATTAAAAAGAAAAATCTGTCTCAATAGCAACTTCCTCATAACGTTCGTGCTGTCGCGTCGTCACGCACAAATATTTTTATTTCTGATTTTTTTTCAGCGGTGTGGTTTATGCGCCTTTCGTGTGCAGGAAGTGCTCGAAGAAGCGCGCGGAACGGAAAGAGATTATCACGGAAATCGTGGAAACCGAGCAGAAGTACGGCAGAGATCTCCAGATCATACTTGAGGAGTTCCACCAGCCGATGTTAAGGGCGGGCCTTCTCACGTCGGAGCAGCTGTCGGCGATCTTCCTGAACGTCGAGGAGCTGCTCGAGCACAATCTCGTTCTCGCCGAGAAACTGAAGGATAGCGTGGAGCTCGCTCAGGTAAGAAACGCGAGGAGTAATTCGATTCTTTTAAATACGCGAACGCGTGCAAAGATTTACGTGTTGCGATTTTCCCGATCGCGCAGGAATCCGGGGACGAGGACCTCTTGACGGTGGACGTGGGCAAGATCTTCCTCGAGTCGGAAAGGATGCTCCACGCTTTCGAGAGCTACTGCACGCGCCAAGGCGGCGCCAGTTTGTTGCTGCAAAATTTGGAGAAGGAGAAGGAGCTCCTTCGCATCTTCCTCAGGGTCTCGCAAATGGAGAACACGGTTTTGCGAAGGATGAACCTGAACTCCTTTTTAATGGTAAGGTCCACTTGATTCTTCGACCTAACTCTTTGACTCCGGGACGAAGGATGATAAGTCGTACATTCCTAATTTCGCGCGTCGTTATTTTTCAGGTTCCTGTCCAAAGAGTAACGAAGTATCCTCTGCTTCTGGCACGTTTGCTCAAAGCGACGCCCTTCGTTCGACCTGACATCCAAGAAGCGAAGAAGAGGCTCAAGCAGGCTCAAACGAACATCGAACTACACTTGGAACACATGAATGCTGTAAGTATACTATGCTGTACAAGTATAAATATACATAGCTGAATATAAATAACGCCCTTGATCGATAGGAGGCGAAGGATGTTACATCGACGAAATTGTGGAGGAGAATATCGATTATTCAAAATGGCAGACGGTCCATCGGCGAGCAGGACATGGTGAACATCAAGCTGAGAAAGGTGTGTTATATTTAAGTTTGTTTTATTTTTGCTACTTATTTAACTTCCAAGTATAAATTATCATGCAACTCTAATCATGCCTGTTAACATTTTTTTTAAATTTATGCTAGATGGCCGTCGAGATCCTGGAATGGGCACACGAAGAAGCTAGGTTTGTCCTCGAAGGACGTCTTCTAGTGGCGCAGCCGACTGATAATAACTGGAGACGCGGCCGAACCGTTAAACTCGCACCTGTTACTGCCATGCTTGTCACAAACGGCAAGGTAAACATGAATGCGTCTTTAAAGATCTCTTATAAAACAGTTTTGTGCGCAAATACAAATGACATTTGTATTTCCAGTCGAATATCGAGTATCCGGAGTTTAACGACGACTCGCTCTTTCCAAAGCACATAGGTATCAAGGAAGCTACCCTACTTCTGGTCAAAGAGAAACTTGGACGATATTCTTTACTACGAGTGAGTCATTGTATACTTTATGCTGTAAAATTTTCTTATTGCCCATATATTGTAATAATAATATATTAATCACGCGAATCCGTTTTCTAATCATCGACATTATTTCAGGAGCCGCTGTACCTTGATAAGTGCATAGTATGTTGTGAAACGGATCTCGAAGATTACTTCGAAATACAGGAATTGTCTTCTAAAGAGACGTTTATATTTAAGGTGAAACATTAATTTGATTTCTTTCCAAGTGCAAATCGATTTGATGGATTTTAAATTGCAAAGAAAATTATTGACACCTGTAGGAGTATATGGTAAACTGATTCATTACAGGCCGAGGACGGCGCGAGAACAAAAAGGTGGTGCAGAACGTTACAGGCTCACGCGCAGTCCCTTGGTGCTTGGCGAAAACGTCGAGGGGCTCTTCCTAATATTATGATCTGCGGTGTAGCAAGGAACTAACGACTTAGTTGTAATAGGCACGTATGCAACGCGATGTTATCGTATCGCGATTTAACACATTCTTAAGCGACACTGAAGCTATCCGACAGTGCGAACAAGTCTAAGCGATTGCATAAATGTACATGATCTCCAGATGAATTAGTAATGATTTGTTGCGGAGAGAGAACGCTAGACCAAAGGATTTCCTCGGCTCGTTGGCACGCTGCCGTCGACGAGCGACACGAAAGTCTAGTTCTTACCGAATTCGAAGTATAACCATCTGTGTTCGGTTGTTACAGTACGTTGCAGAAACTTTAGTTTCCTACGACACTGTAAGGTAAAACGCTACGTGGCCTCGAAAGCCGCGCATAATTCTATCGATTCCTAATGAATAATTTTAAGTACACACATAATATATGTCTACATATATATATAGGGCTATTTAATATTAATGATTAAACCCTTCAAAAATGACGAGTAGCTGTGATATTGACCGGTGTATTGGGTATCGTTTTCTTTTCGCAGATTATTTACGGATGTTAAAGTACTTTATCCGCCGCATTTCCCACGTCTGCGACTCTTCTTACCAGTATCGCTCCTTGCGAAAATGATATTAATAGGGTAGACTTTATTAGATCCGAGGTTCATAGGGTTCGCAGATTGATAGTATCGAAAAATCCGCGAGAATCAGCAGCGTCAAGGATACAGGGTGCCGTATACGTCCCGTATAATCGGCGTGCATCGAGAATTTGATAATGCTAGGAATATACTTTTGTTCTTATTCCTCCACAATTATTCTCTTCCTCCAAATAACAGTATTTTTACTACGTCTAACACAAGCAAAATGCAAATTGTACATTGTACTATATTTTTATTTAAGAATTAAGCCATACTGTGTATGTATATAAATGTATATTTACAGACTTCCTCACACAGTTCTAACCGAAATTCACATTGTAACGAATTAATCTGCTGCATTACAACCTGCGATTTAATAAAAGTAAAACTTGATGGCATGTCTCAGACTATAAATCGTCCCGTTAATAGGTACACGTTTCTTCCGGCATCTCTGCACAGTCCTGTACTACAACATTCTGCGTATTTGTTAACGGTAACAAATGCCGGGATGTGCGATATTTGTACAACTCGAGCTCCGGATGTTTCTCAATCAGATATTTGTAAGCAGTCGCTAGCCTGTCGATATCCGCAATGGTAAGTTGCGTCGGTCTGACCGTCGGCTCCAAGTCAGCCAATTTGTACATCATCAAACCTAACTCTTTGCGGCATTCTAATGGGAATAAAGTCCTGTAAAGAAACGGGATGACAAATTATTTTTAAAAGCTAATTTCGTTTATTATTATGACAGGGATAAGTAAGAAAGTGCATAAACTTACTCGACGCATCGTATGCTGTACTTTTGCCTGAAACTGAACACGTGCCTCGTTATCATCTCGAAGAATTTGAAGTCGTGCTGCGTGCGTGGTTTGACCAACGGCATAAACGACACCACTCCCACATCGACGTCCGGTTTTGGAACAAAAGCTGTGCCTGTAAATAACGAATCGGAGCGAGTGAAAAATCGCCAAATTAATTTGCGCGATAGGGTAAGATATACGAGCCGTTTGAATACCAGGTATAATAAAACGAAGTATTGGAAATGTCCACGTTTGCGCCATCACTGACAGCCTGCATCGTTGGTCATCCATCGGCTCAGCCACCAAGCGTTCCGCCACCTCTTTTTGAAACGTCAACGTCATTTTCGTTCTGCCGAACGCCCAAGGTCCGCGCCGCTCGGATATCGCGTGCAGCCACTTGATTATGAGAGGTGTCGATACGTTGAACGGTAAATTGCCTATGATGAAGATATCTGGAGATTTGTCATTCCACTCCCTCTTTTTCTCAATCGGGAACAGACTCTCTAAGTTCGTTCTCATGATGTCGTCGTATACCATATCCATTTTCCCATTAATCGCGCTGAATGAATCCGCCAGCATGTCTAAAGTCGGTTTAAATCTCTCATCCTTTTCAACGACTACTAATCGTTCAGGGACCCTTTTCAGGATAGACCGGGTCAATCCACCCGGGCCGGGACCAACTTCCAGTACTTGGCTCCCGGCGAGATTTCCCGCCTTTGATACAATTTTGTCGGTTAAATTGTGATCCAGGAGAAAATTCTGAGACAAACGTTTTACGGCATTCAAGTGATAAATTTTCAATAAATCTCGCACGGTTAGAAGCGGTGGCAATCGTGGGGCGGCCATCTTCGAATGCTAAGTCTTGTATCGCAGACACACTTGTGTGAAACAGACGACTTATTCAGGTAGTGATTTTCCGGGAAGGAAAAATCACTTTACGAGCTATTATTTAAGCAAAAAAATATAAACTTTTCAACACAATAAACCGCAAACCCCTTTATTCAAATTTCTAAACTAGCTAACTTCTCAGACCTCGACCGTCTTTTCTGGCACTTCAAAGTCGTCTAAGAATTTCTCCTGCTTAACCGAGTATATTGTATAAGCGTAAATTCCAATGACTCCGAGGCCTAGAGCGATAGCCATACGATTATTAGCTTTACGATAGACGTGTACTCTCTTCGCCCTTTCCAAGTTCTGCTCCTCCAGGCGTTTCATATAAACTATATCTGTAGACTTGAGCTTTCCCGCGTCTTTCAATATGTCAACCTTCGGCATAGCCTCATTTTGTCCAAATCGATTATCTGCGGACAAAATGATTACTTTTACTTGTGCCGAAGAGTACTGTGTAAAATATTCAATTTAGATCATTCACCAGGTCCCATTTCCACACACCCGCGTCCACGAGTAACCAGAGCAGGTATTTGTTTCTTTCCTTGCTATCAGTTCTAAGCTTGTTAAAGTCTGTTCAACAGAAAAAGACTTGTAAGAATCTTTATCTATTCACATACAGTCATCGGCAATGAATCGTTTCACAAGAGGAAAAGTAACTCCCTTCTTCACTCTAACCAACAAATTATCAACGAGTGGGGAAACAACAATTCCCCTCTCGCGAAACGATTCATTGCCGGTCAGTGTACAACAAATAAAAATAGTAAAACTTGTAAAAAATTTGTACACATTTTTAGATAGCATACACGTATACTGCACATAATAATATACAAATTTAAACGCATACGAATGTTTTTATTAAATTATAAATATGAATTAAGTAATAATACTGATCGATTCTTTACCTACAAATTTATGAAAAAAATTAAATTTAACCCAAAAAGAATCATTTTGATCTATGATTTTGAGGTTAGGTCACGGCTGTGACTCTTGGTTAATGTTTCTTCTCGCGCGCTTGACACTTTTTATCGGGTATTAATTGAGAGACTCTACACGTTTGACAACGATACTAAGATCTACAAGTTATACGTACGATTGAAAAAAATCTTACAATTCAATTTAGATCCCCCACATTGCGAGATCACACGAAATCTGGGCACCGTGCAGCGCACTACTGCCACCGCAGCGGCGATTATGCGCAGTACATGAGCACAAGAAAGTAGCCCCACACGTCTCTGTTGGTATTATCAATTTGGTTTTATCGTGACATTCATTGATTATATTTCCTGAATTAAAAATGTATCAAGTAATCCAGAAATGCAACCGAGACATGTGTATACAAACTTTTCTCTTTGACTTACTAACGACTATTAGTAATTGTTAATAATCGACAAAAACTTAAATTTATAAATAACGTATATTATTTATATATAACGTATATAAAATCGAGAGAAATACCGTAGGTATTGTACAGATATTATATTTTTAATTTCATAATGTCATTATTTCTTTACAATATTGTATGTATTGTAAAGTAAAGTATAAGGAAAATGAAATAATTATAGAAATGTAAAAACGCGACTGTCGCCGAGTGAACGATCCTGCGTACGGCGCCGTAAACACCTCGGCCGAAAACCGAGCGCGGATTCCAAGACATGACGTAGCGTCGTAAACACCCTCGGTCGAGAACAATCTATTGTGTCGAATCATTCGGCGCGGATCAGTCGAGCGAGGCGGGTGTTCCGCGTGTCTTCGCGTCGCTTCTCGTAACGCGATCATTTCCTACGAGAATCTCGATCATCTCCTACGGCGCGCTATCATCTCGTTCGGAAGTTATTAACATTTGTGAATCGCGTTTAAGTAATTGTCGCGATCCGTAATCATATCATTAAAGCCTCGTCTACATAGAAGTCGTAAAGTCGTAGTCGTAAGAATAGTCGACTATGATTGGTCAATTCTTACGTGTCTGACGAAATTGACCAATCGCAGTCGATTATTCTTACGACTACGACTCTGCGACTCGCATTGTAGACCACGCATAATTTCTACGGTGATTTGTCGCAACGACGACGCGACACGACAAACCGTCGCGTGCGGTTGCGATTCGTTTAATTAAAATGCGACTTCTACTTCAAATTATGCGTGATATTCGTCGCGACAAACGAATCGATACAATAGATTGTTTTTGACCGAAGTGTTCACGGCGCTACGTCATTTCTCGGAATCCGCGCTCGGTTTTCGGCAGAGGTTGTTTACGTCGCCGTACGCAGGGTCATTCACGCGGCGACAGTTGAACCGCTCGGGTGCCTGCGCCGCTTCGCACATTGTATTATTCTTTCGTGATACGCGTTCGCGACAAGTGCGGGAAGAAACCATGATCGCTCTCTGTGAATAATCAATGACCGATATCATCGTGCGATTGTTGAATTCCCGCGATTTGTGTCAGTGATTTGTGCGGATATCAGTGCGACGATATCGAACAGTTCGTATAGTGGCAATCGGTGGCAATTCGGATACAGTGACAAGTGACTTTACAAACGGAAGTGTAAGTTCGCGAATGTGTCGGAGGACAGCTGAGACAACGACACCTGAGAGGACGACACCTGAGTGGAAGAGGAGGCGTCGGGCGCCATTGCAGGATCAACGTAGATACAAATCCGCCGCTGCGCATCGTGTCGGTGAGCGAAAAGTTTTTTTATTAAAGTAACGGAATCTACATTTTTAGATCGTAGATTGTAGATTGATATGTTTCGTAGATCCGTTACGTTAAAATAGATAGGTTACAAATAATTTCACATTTTATTTAATACATTCAATTTATCGAAGAGACGTGATTTCATAGAGCTCTATAAATCGAAGTATGTCGAGCTCATTTTTCATGTTGAAAATAGTCGAATTACATCATAGAAATTACGCAAAATATGAAGATTATTGATGTATTCGGCCAACTAATATCTCGTAGCCTATCCATTTTAATTAAAGAATTGATATATGTATAAAGTATTATAAAATAATATGACGTGAGATTTCAATATATTTTGTCAGGAATGCTTAAATTTGAAATTATTTTCTTGTTTGATACTTTATTTGAGATTATCGATTAACTGTAATATTCAATTATAATATCGATGTTACTCGTGCGGCAAGTTCTTTTTTCTGGATCTCACGTTATTTATTCTGCATGTCTCGCGATACTTTCAAGGTGCGTTTAGCATAATATAGCATAATATACATGCATAGTCACACGCATCTCATATCTTTGCGGTCGATTTTCGCGGTCGGTTTTCGCGATCAGTTTTTCACAACATGTTCAAGAGATTATTAATTGTTTAATTTCATACATATTATACATTTTCTCGCGAAATATAATTAAAATAAATATAACGCATAGTAACATTTTTTCTATATTTATGTGCTCGAATTTTATATTGAAAGATCGAGTCACGAAAATACTTTTGAAAACGGAAGTAAAGTTACACTTTGATTAGTTTTAGAAATTAAATTTTTTTCAATTAAATTTCTTCTTTAAATAACTTCTTTCCTGGCCGTGCATTTTTCGATACGATCGTCGCTCGCATATAGTTCGAACCGTACGGAATATTTGTCGGTGACGATAACCGACTATGGAAGGAGTTTTCTTCCTTCCTGATCTCTGGTCAAAATGACCAGATTGTATGGCCGGGAGCAACGAAAGGTATGTCCAATCTGGCCCAACGATGGACTAAATACGACGAGGTAAGTGGTCAATATTGGCCACTCTGGAGTACCTAAGTAAGTTGTTGTACGATGTATACTTAGATTTATTTTTATTGGTTGCAATTCGGGTGGGTTATGCTTCCATACATACATTCTCGCACATGTGCAAGAGTAAAATCCCCATTAAATCCCGCTGGCGCGTTAAACTCCAAGTCAAACCCCTAAAAACTCGCGTCGCGGTTAATTAAAGATTTGTGGGTTCATTAGGGTAGAAAATGAATAGGTAGATCTATAAGTCGGAATACGGCTAGGATACAGAAATAGTAAATTTATTAAAGTTTCGAAGTTCGAATGTCGAAACCTTTGAAGAAAATTACCAGTCCTACTGAATAACACAATTAATCGAAAATAATTTTTATAAATTATATAACTGGTTTTAATACAATTGCTGCTGATATACTTGGTGTATATTAAAAATATTAAACGTGATAATTTCATAGATAATCTTCCAAGCATGTTGGTATATCTTAAAACACAGTCGTTATAAAAACGAACGAGACAGTGATAGGAGCGAGTGAGATGAGAATAACAGCAAGCGAAGAAGGCTCGAGGATCCGGATTGAGTCTTCCTTGCGGTTCACCGGGCTCGCATGTGTTATCTCATCTCGCCCGTTTCTATTACGTCTTGCTCGCTCGCTCCCGTCACGAAAAATTAATAACACTCTCGTGTTACTGACGTGTCATACATGCAGCACGGAACACAACCAAAATGGGCACTGTATTACCCGCTTGAAAAACCGGGCGTAGCACGGACGCGCACCAAGTGGAGACTTTATCGGCAGTGCTTGAAAGTGGGTGTAGCGGAATAGTTCC